AAAAAACTTCTAAACTTTTTATTATTTATGTGACGGTGAGATTTTTTATTTTATTCAATATATATTTTGTTAAGAGTAATTAACATATATAATAATTATAACAATATAAAAAAAATGATTAATGATATACATAGCTGCATATAGGGAGCTTCTAAACCTATTGAAATTATATGGTAGAAATTAAGATGATCATTTTCATCTAAAATATTCGGATCATGCTTTTCAATTCTTGGAGGAAAAGGAAAGGACTTCATGCAAATTAATCAGAGTTAATTACCCTTTTGCAAAAACTAGATTACGTACCAACTAGAACAAAATTCAGAAAGAAGCCGCCCTCTCTCTTTATATATATAAATATTAGTGCGTAATTAAGGATATTAAATATCCTTCATATTAACACTGGCTGGTTCATATGATGAGCAGATAAGAGCAAGGCAGATCGAGTAATGTAAACTCTTCTTTGATCAAGGGGCTACATATATACACAAGATATGACTAATTCAAAGAAATAAAATTCATTAATGAATTTGATTAGTCCTGAAGTTATCAATTTAATCAACAAGAGTAGTAATATTGCCAGGGTGTATACACATAATCTTAGATGACACGTACAGCTTTCATTTTCTTCTGTGTTTTCGTGTTGATCTTTCACTTTCATATCCCTTTCTTCACCTAATGCTTCCCCCTACATGGCATAAAAACAAGGCATGAACAAAACTTCATGGTATCATGGGAAAAAAAACCAAGGCGCAAATGAAATAACCTAGTCATTGTACAATCCAAATCAACACCGACATTACATGGGAGTCTTAGTCAATTCTGCAAATATTATTAATAAGTACCACATTTATGGTTATTGAAATGATAAGGACGACGGCCGTGATTTTCTGGGGAAAAATGTTAAAAAGAGTGCATGGGAAACTCTCAAGCTACTCAAACCATTTATCTTTGTCAACAGCTGTCCATGAAAACAAAACAAAAATCCTTACTCATGCTTGTAAGGCTGCCCCAAGCAACATACTGCTTGGTTAAAAAGACAAGAAAAAACACCTAGCACCGTTTCAATTAATCTAGTACCAGATTCTGCATTTTTATGTCTTCCTCAAAATGCATCATGCTATATAGGCCATGTCATGAAAATGAGTCAAAAAATATTGCAATTCAACGAAATCATCCCTTGAAAAAGTGAATGAAAACCATGGGAATGATTAAACATCTCCTCCATATCATCCATCAAAAACAAATAAAAAGCTACCTAGGAAATAATTCACAAACCAAAAATGTGAGGCGTAAAAAAAAGAAAAACCCCTTTTAGAACATTTAATAACAATCCAAGCTGCAATAAAGATGAAATAGCTTCATGATCAATTCTCCGACTCTGGCTTTCCACCTCCTCAGTCAACACCGGTGGCGCGTGGAAGAAGCAAAACGGGAAAGTTTGTACCTATAAACCAAAAGCAGCGAGGTCCGTGAGATAACCCGATCCACCGCAAAATTGGTTTTAATTGTTTTTATGCATTAGTAGCCCATCAAGAAAATTTTTATGAGCTTACTTAGCCCACTTTTCAATAGGATTGGGCCAAATGGGGGGTTGGGGGGGAGGGAAGGAAAAACAAGTTGCTGAATTTACCTTTAATCATTTTAGAGGTGACTAGCTCAACCTATAAATTATTATTTAGGCATTTTTCTTTTCTTTTTTTTTAACATAAATTTGGGGAAAGCGTCAAAGTGGGACATTTTTTAATTCTTTTTAACATTGTCGGGACATCTTAATCTATTCAACTAGTAACAATAGAACAAAATTGAGTCCAAAAAATTAAATAAAAAAAAAAAGGTAATTGAGAAGAATAAAAAAAGAAAAGGTGTTGATTTCCATTCCTAGTAACACATCAGTACTAGTACAATTATTACCTAGAAGGCTAGAAACCAGAAACTCGAAAGGTATCCGAACAAAAAGGTTGGAAGTCTATTTGCGATTCCCATAAATAAAAGGAGAGAGCATGTTTTCTTTTATTTGCAAAGGATGCTTTCCATCAAATGAAAAAGCAGGGTACAAGAAAATAGTACCAAACAAGAACTTAAACACTTAAAACTTCCAGTTGGGGCATCCCATTTGGCACATGAGTAGAGCCAGAGAAAGATGGCTTGACGTTCAGACGTTACGCAGGTGAACTGGCTCACCGAAGAACCGTTCCATCTGCTGTGCCCTCGTCTTGATGGACAAATCAAACACCTTCTTGTCAAACTCTACGGTAATCCCACCAAGAATACTTGGATCAATCTAACACAAACAAGAGAAAACCTAAAGACTTAAAACATGTGGAGCACTCAAGTATGTAGACAGCAAACATCTATAAAAGTAGCGGATGGCCAAAAAAAAAAACTAAAGTAGTACTGTACCTTCTGCTCCAGGTTAACCTTCTTCCCTTGACCAATTATCTCATGCAAGGTCTTTTTCAATTCTTTCTCCTCCTGAGGAGGAAGGGGCTGATAACAAGTAACAGCAATCAATATAGAGGGAAAAGAGAGTAAAGAGAGAATGAAGGGAACATATGGGTTATTAGGAATTTAAGAAAGGTGGCTGAGCATCATGTTATGAGCTTGTAAGAAAACATGTCTTGGATTTAAAAAGAGATAGGGACAATATGCCTTTCCTATTGGAAGCTCCAAAACCAAGTATGGATGGCAATTCAGTAGGTATCGCATAAGTTTTTAATTAACAGAGCTGATGCTATGCACAATATGCCTTTCCTATAAGAAGCTCTAAAACCAAGAGAGTAAACTTACAACGACAGTTGTGACAATGGCTTTCACTTCTCCCTTATGTGCCATGGTCAACTCAGCAAATCTCTTTGTGATGCTTTCTATGAACCTTAGCCTCCCATTCTCAGCCAATAAAACTAGCACAAAAAATAGTTGTACCTTTTAATGCTTCACACTTCATATCACGAATACAAGAAAACTAGGAATGGGGAAAATTGAAAGCTAGGCTAATAAGCAATGAATCCAGCACAACTACAACTATTGCGCAACAGATTAGATTGGATAACTACAAAAGCATATAAAAACAGTACAAAGTAACATCATGTTTGGTTATCAATAATAGCAAACACAACATGAACAAAATAAGTATCAATGAGAATATCGGAAGCAACAATACTAAAAATATAATTTAGTTAATTTTAAGAAACTGAAGTTCACTAACAAATGCTCAATATCTATGGAGAAGATTATTTATCCAGAGACTTTTTAGCAAATTACAACAAAAAAACACTAACCAGCAGTTATGTTAACAGTTACAATCCCACATTTCCTCTTATCTGTGGAAGAGAATAAGAAGGTAATGCAAGACAAAGTAACTGTGAAATTAGCATAACTGTGAAATTAGCATGGATAGGTAAGCACTTGTCACTATCACATGAAAAAGGGATTACATAATGCAGTACAATTTCAGAAAACATAAACTCGGTCAATTAACATATCTTTTTATTCTCAATTAGTTTCATTTTCGTTAGAATGAGAAGGTTAAATGACATAGTCATACAGGCAAGAGGAGAAGTATATATGTATAAAGTGATGTTGTAACCTAAGACAGAAACAAGAATATGTTCCAGTTTTTCATGCGTGAGTCATGAATTAGTGTCATACCCAAGAAATTCTTTGTAACCTCTGAAAATTTAGCTTGACTAGAAATCTCCTGAATAGCCTTGACCATCGTATCAGCAGGCACTGACAAATCCTTTGCAAACTGAGAAAATGTTGGACTTTTCTTTAAAGCCTCTATAAGTTGAAGAATTTCAGACTCAACCGTGTCGAGAGAATTTGACTTTACTGCTGCAAGCTACAATGCAGAGGCATAGTTTCCAGAGCCGCCGAACAAAACCAGAGGCACCTAAAATTGATGAAGATTCAATAAAGCAAGATTAAACACCGACTTCCCACTAGTTGAAAAGCAAATAAAAGCAGAATTTAGGAGCCAAGGAGTGCAGCTACCTTAACCTTGTCTTTCATTTTTGTGGGAGCAGTGGCACAATTCCTGGAGAGCTGCATGGAAACAACAAGACAGCATAAAAGAAACAGCATTTAATGGAATTTCCAATTCATAAGCTTTGGAATGTTTAATAACAGCTGAAAGTAAACAAAATCAAAGATCAAAATATATCCAAACAGTAAAACCTGAACATTTATATATATAGATATACATAGGTGAAGCCGTTATGATATTTCGCCACGTTTTTTTTTTTGTCAAACATCGTACTGAGACTACATGAATCAATTTCACATTATTTTTCTCTTGTTTAATTTATGAAACTGGAAAAAAAATTAGAATGTATTAGTAATTAAAATGTTATTTTTAATAA